TTGCAACGGGCACTTTGTGAACCAAATCTGAGATATGAACAATGGTCACCTTAACTCCTCAGCTTGTCATCACATCTTGTTTTTAGCAGATGGAATCGAGGCGGATCCTTGACCGTGCATTGAGCTCCATGATCTGCGGCCCAGGGCTGTAATTGAATAGGTTATCACGTTGCTGGCCCAGATGGATGGCTTATTAGTGAAAAGTCGTAACTGTGATGTGACGGCCTCTAGACGTTTCTTGTGCATAAAGAGAAGCAGAATAATGATGGAATGGACCACCTTGCACTTGTGCATGGTTCTGTGATGGCAGCCAGGTGCACACTTAAGTTAGTCCCTAATTAGAATTCATGGGTCAGGTGAGCTAAGTCTCTGAAGGTTCGTTGGGAGAAGTGCAGGTGGGGCCCTCCTGTGGCAGAATAATGCTGGGTTGAGATGTAGAGCACCAGAGGTAACCCATTAGGCTACACAGGGCTGTCTGAGGAGCTAGGGAAGGGTTCTGCTTTTACATGTGCTCCAATTTGAAAGAAAGTGGCATTTTAACATTTTAGTAGTAACTAAATTTTCAACCTCAAATAATAATAAGGCAGGATGCCGATTGCCCTTCAGGCATGTCTTCCCTCTTAGGCTGGGGGTCCTCGAACTCAGCTGGCAACCTCAGGCTGCACCTGCCGCAAGTCTGAACTAGGAGGTTTCTGTCCTAAGCCTCTGGGACTTTAGGGACAACAGCCAGTGCTCCTGTGTCCTCAGAAGTACAGTAATACCTCACAGCCACATGGTGGCAGCTCCCTGCAAGCTGACGAATGAGTGTGTGTTGAAGCCCACAAGGCCAGAGCCACAGTAAGTCGCCTAGCCTGGGTGCCACAGTGTGCTCCCCGTCCCGTTCTCTGAATTCTCTATGGTGAATGCCTCAGGACGCTTCCAAGACGTGGTGAACCTGCCTGGAGGTGTCCGCGTCGGAAACAGCTCTGCGATTGTCAGGCTCACTGAGGTTTCTTTTCAGGGTTGTTGATCAAGAGGACTTGAACTCGGGCATTCACGGTGTTTTCAGGAAAAATCATGTCACAGGAAAGTTCCTACCGTGACCAGGACCTTAGCTGAGAATAAAGGAGCATTAAATTTACTTCATTCTAAGAAAGCCACGGATAACTGGGGCCAGACCACTCCGGAAGCCCAAATGCATGCAGTGGTAATTCTGCCACCTCCGCCTGCACCTCAGCCCAGCCTCCCCTCTCCCCACGTCCTCCTGCTGATGTCAGGCATGGAGGAGGGGTGGCGCTGTCCTCTGCAGCCCCTTTCACAGAAACAGCTCACTGCCTGGCCCCCGGAGTTGGGGTGGGCTTCTTTCCTCAGGAAGCCAGATGGGAGCATCAGGAAAATCACTGGTAAAGAATAAAGATGACGGACTGGGCGTAGAGCTCAGTTGGTAGAGAGCTTGCCTCGCATGCACAGGCCTCTGGGTTCAATCCCCAGCAGCCCCCAAAAGAAAAGAATAAGTGTGATGTCTAGAGCTCAGGCCAACATGAACTTCTGCTGAGACGCTGTTCTGACCGGTCAGGCCCCAGGGCCAGCTGGGAGGAAAGGAACTCAAGTGGACTGCAGGATGGAGAGGACAGGGATGTGCCACACATCATGGCCATTCAGTGTGTCTTGAATGGACCGAGTAAACACTTAAGAGCTGGTCATGCACCCCCTTCCTGACTCCCCTGTGTTCCTGCTGGCTGGGATGGTGAAGGACAGGGCCCCACACAGAGCAGCTGGCATTTGGCACTTGGGTACCTCTGCATGTGGGCAAGCAGCACCAACAGCTGGGGAGGACAGAGGAGCACAGCCTCAGGCCTGGTCGCTCCTTTCTGTCCCAGCCTTGGAGGCCCCCAGTGCAGCGGAGATAGGGAGCAGAGGACCCCAGGGGAACCCTGGCCCTGCCCTGCTCCCTCAGCTCTGTGGGAGGGGGAGCAGATGGCAAGCTAGCCACCACCTGCCCCAGACAGAGTGTGTAGGTTGGTTTCCATCAAGGTTGACCTTGGAATTTTAAACTGAAGAGGCTGGAAGGAAAGGTCCCGAGAGGGAATCCAGGGAGGACAGACAGCAAGGCAGATCCTGAGTGGAAATGGTTTCTGCTCAAACTTCCTGAGTTAAGACTTCCCTGATGTCCACCCAGTACATCTGAAGATGAACTCCTCAGAACAGTCTGGAGAAGGGTCTCTTCTTTTCATAAGAAGTGGCCAAGTAGCCCTGCAAGTCCCAGCTATCATACATGCACATGACAGCTATCAGCTACCTGGTGGAGGTGCTGCAGGGTGACGGAGAGCAGCAGACTCACCTGAGGGAGGCAGGCGCCTGGAAGAGGCTGCAGAGGGATGGACTGGTGCAAAGAGGGACGGGTGAGGCAGGTGGACACTGACGGGAGCTGTCGGAGATCCACAGGGCCTGTGGGTGTTCACTGGGCCCCTTCAACTCTTCTGTACGTTTGAACATTTTGCATTGCAATCACGCCTGCCAGAGACAGCAGGCCCAGGTCTTTCTCACTTCTCGCACACATCTTTCCAAAGGGATGACACTGGTAACGAGCTACCCGGCTCTCCTCAGTCATTGACCTACAAACATTTTTATGCCTCTTTAGGGAAGAAGGCCGCACACAGGGAGAGGGCAGTGGGGAGAGGTCCAAAAGGGAGTGTAGCTGAACTCATAGCAGCTCTTGGACGACCCAAAGATGCATTTCCTTTAAAGATCAGAACATCTTCCATGAAACTTGGCATGCTATACATAAAAAGCATTTCTTTCCAGTATTTAGAAAATTGAAAACGCCCCCAAAAACTGAGCCTTATCTTCTTTCGTTTGCTGGGTCAAGGCAGGCCTCTCTGGAGGAGAGCCGAGAACAGCCCTGGGACAGGCAGGGAGGCCTTCTACACCTGCCAAATGGTGAAGCCCTGAAAGGGACAGAGGCAGAGTGACACTCCTCCAGGCAGGACTTTAAGAGAGTGGGACAGTGAGTGCAGGCACCAGGTGGTGTCCCAAGAAAGCTCAACTCCGAGCTACCACCTGCAGGGTTTCTCACACTGGGGATCTGTGGTACAGCCAACAGCCAGCCAGCACCTGAGGCCCTGGAGGAAATCACCCAGGTCAGCTGACGATTTCCTTAGCAGCCCCAGTGTGCCAGGCCGTGGGTGGGTGCCACTTTAAAGCACTGGACAGCAAGCAGTCAGTTCAGCCTGGCAGAGGTCTGTGACCCTCTTTTCAGCATGCCCAGGGGCTCCTTAGAATGCAGAGGGGCTTGGCGGTTGGGGACATATCTCCGTGGCAGAGCACTTGCCTGGCATGCAGGGCCCTGGGTTCAATCTCAACCCTGGAGTGGGGGGACACTGAAAATCCAGATGGACTGGGTTTGGGGGAGGGGCTCACGGGCTCGAAACTGTGCTCTAGATCAGTGCAAGTTAATGAGCATCATGAGCTGTCTCCCACCGGACGGAGAGGTGGCGACTCTCCCTACTCATCCCAAGGGCAAAGCCGACATTCCTGGAAAAAGACAGGTTAAAAAGACAAAAGCATAAAAAGTTCACTTGATGGATGTTCTGGAGGCTTCAGCATTGAAGATCGGATGGTCCAGGAAAGTGTGTTTGTTTGAGCTGAGGCGTGATGCAGCACGGACAGAGTGTGGACCGTGATGGGACCACATGGGTACCTGGGGAGACTGCGGGCACCCAGCAGGCTCTGTTACCGACCAGTCTTTCCCCTCCCAGGTGTGGGACAAGGACACACACTGAATGAGGACACATTCTAATGCCAGCTCTCGCACAGAAAGGTAGGGGAATATTCCCAGGTTTATGGCTGGGTTGGGGGCGAGGGGTTCTAGTTGTTTCTTAGAGGAGAAGGGAGAGCAGGGAAAGGCAGCAGGAGAGGGTCGGAGAAGGCCTATGAGCCCCTCCCCAAAACCCAGTCCATCTGGATTTCAGTGTCCCCTGGCCCCAGGGTTGAGGATTGAACCCAGGGCCTTGCGCACTAGGCAAGTGCTCTGTCACTGAGATATGTCCCCAGTCCCCAGCCCCTCTGCATTCTAAGAGCCCCTGGGCATGTTGAGAGGGAGTCACAGATTCTGCAAGGCTGAACTGACTGCTTGCTGTCCAGTGCTTCTGAGCCCCTCCCCTCGAGTTTGAGGTGTTCACCCTTCCTGAGCTCCACTGCTCTAAAAAACCACTCAATCTAGAACAATTGTAATCATATTCATAAGAATCCCATTTTTAAATTCCTTATGTATTTTACAGTGTTATGACAATTAATTCCTTAAATATTATATTGTGGAGTATAGGAATATTTAAATTAGGTTTTATGAAACAGGGGTCTCTATGAATATTTTTATGAATTAGTGATTTTTGTGACTTTGCTGAGCATGATTTTACCCTAGATATGGTGTTTTTTAGGATCTGGGACTGTTCAGTGAATGAAAGAGAACCCTCCACAGCACTTAACTACACAGAATAAACCAGTTTCTCTTCTGAAGGCAGAGCAGAGCTAAGTAAAGCACCTGGTCTGTGACTGCAGTCATTCCTTCTCTCTCTGATTCCCCGAACAAACCTCCTTACTTGACCAGCAGGCACAGACAGGACAAATCCATGATCATCCAAAAAGCTTTAGTCTCCCCCTCGTGGACGATGGTAAAACAGCAACAGCCCCAAACCATCTGCTGTTGTCTGTGCCAAGGAGGGTTATGGTGGGATTCATCCCACCACAGGCCACTTTGATTTCACACTCACTAAATCTGCACCCTTCTCCCACACTCCTCGACATCTTTGGGTGATAAGGATACCCAGGTCTCGCCACTTGAGAGGTGCTCCTCCCACGGACCTAGCAGCGGGAAGCTAGTCAGGTCACTGCTCGGTATGGGGATAGGATCGAATGGAAGTCCAGCTAAGCACTTCTTGGAAATCACCAAGGAGAAAATAAAGACAAACTTAGAAACCAAACAGGATATAGAGCTAGACAAAACCACACCCCAAAAGCCCATATAATATTTTTCTGCTGTTTAATTGATCTCAAGGAAGGAAAAAAATATGAGTTCACAAAAACTTACATGAATTTGGTTCTGTACAAAACCAAACATACAATCATTATGATACCAATGAAACATGCTGAATATTTCCAGGCCATTTAAAATAGTGTCTTGAACATGTACATAAATAAGTAATAAATACTGCCTCTGTTACCTTCAAATGCTGGACCACCAAGAGCTTCATACTTTTATGTAACTACTTGAGTAAATGAGCAAAGAAGGAGAGTGGAAACAGACAGCATTTCTACACGTAACGCAGCGATTCTGGTCTCTCTGGGATGTGGCCTAGATGGCTGAAGAATTGCCATGTACCTCCTCCTTGTAGCTAGCAGCTATCTTCAGACCAATGACAGCATCTCCCCGACATTTGTCAGGCCACCAATTCTACTCGCTTCAAGTTGCTGACAAACCTTCAGCCCCTTTAGGCATTCAAAGATTTGGAAAATAGTCCAACTCTAAACAATCTGATGGGGTTTTGTGGCCCATTTTTGTACTTTTCTACAATTTTTTCCACTGAGTGGAAGCTGGAAATATTTTTTCACACACTCTTTTGGATTGTTTTGACCTCAGATCATTTTAGTTGGTCTAAATGCAAGGTGTATGTAAACAACTCCTCGGAAATGAGAGGCACTTCTTGAAAACGCAAGGACTTCTGTCACCAGATTCAGGATTCGATGAACCGAGTGAGTTCACAGTTGAGCTTTCCAACACCATCGGCATGGAAGTGCCAAGATTCTCTTCTGCAGCAGTCAGTGCATTGAGATGGGTTGGATATGTGTATCAGAGTTCATCAAACTAAAATTGTGCTTATGTGAGTACTGTAATAGACCTGACTTTAAGAAAAAATCTTAATACTCTTCATTAGGAGCTCTGATCTGATCCAATAATACTGGTTAAAATAACCAACTTGAGGCAAAAAAAAAAAAAAAAGTAAACAAGGAAAGACAGTTTTTTGGCTTTCAAAACTGTCTGAATATATGACTATTCTCCAGAGGAAGCAACTAACTATCTCCCAGTTAAAAGAGCTGGGAAAGAATGCAGGAGGCATTGCTTTATCCTCAATCAACACGATCCTCAGCTCAGACACAGGGGAGGCAGGAAAGGAAACAGCTTCACCTCACCCACTCTAGGTCTCTGAGAATACCCAGGAGAGCACACCTCAGGAAAGGCAGGGGCTTAGCACGAACGCTCAGTGCGTATAAGAAATACACATGTGTGTGATATTATATTACATATATTAATTGGTCCTGAAACTTTATATAAAGAGCTGAATAAAAATCTTGCAGAGAAAGAATGACAAGGGGTGCCAACCACACGCAGTGGACTGATCAGGGCTCACGGGGAGCAGGGCAGGCCAGGGCATAAGTGACACCACTCAGGAACCACAGAAAGGAGAATAAGGGCTGCTTTTCCAATGCAATGCATCTACTGAGGACAAAGGTTAAGCGCATATTTGAGGACTACGGGAGCAATGCCTACTACGTGTACATCTTTTGGTTGCATAAACAGGCAGAAGACCGTAGCATACAGCATGCTTTTTCCAGTGGGGTGGTGCACGAGGTGAAGAATCTGCAAAAACTTGCACGTAAAGTCAGGAAAAAAAGGCTATTATAAAATTCTCCTCTGTTGTTTCGTATGATTAAAGTCATGTTTTTAAAAGATATCTTATTATTTAACCTCTGCACATTGTGTCTTGTCTCTGTGCTATTTGCAATAAGAGTTCATAAACCACTATATGTTCAAATATGACATGCCAAGTTTTTCATTTGCCCCAAAGGTGAAAAGACAGAAACACAGATGTAAAAACAAAACAACAACAAAAAACCAAACACAGTTATTGTCTGAACGGATAAAATCAACCACTGTCCAGTCATTAAAACACACTATCAAGAATCTGTCAACCAAAGGTCTTGAAGATACAAACATCAACGGAAAGTTCCCAGCACAACCATAGGAACAAGATGTCACTTAACTCCAGAGAAGGAAGATACTTGTAGAAGAGCCAGGAAACCAAGTCTAGATCTGGATGGTGAGAACACATCCAGCGACTTGTCTACACTCCTCCCTCCAGCACTTCCTGGGGCCTCCCCGCCCCCACGCCCAGGCTAGATGGTAGAACCTTGCTCTTACAAACTGAAACAGATCATTATTTTTGACTAAGGACAACAGAATCTAGGTCCCAAGTCAGTAATTTAGTAACTGCTACGCAGCACGTCCCATGAATTTTCAGCTATTGCAGGCCCTTCGTTCCCAACTTCTAAGAGGGGCTGTTCCTGGGGACCCCCTTCAGGGAAGCCTCCCACAGCAGAGACCCTTGGACGCCACACCAAACAATAAAATCAAGCTTCAACCCCCAGGCTTTCCAACTGGAAAAGCTGCAAATTATTTTTAATCTGTTTAGAAAACTCAGAAATGGGACTTCACCACGGCCTCTAAATTCAATGATTCCTTTAAAAAAAAAAAAAAATCCCATGTCAGAGAGAAGTACTGAAGTTCCAGATGCCTTTGTCTCTAGTGAGCGAGCAATTCAGTGACAAATGACTGCTCAAAATAGAAACCTGTGTACTCCCTGACCCAGAAGGAATGAGGCTTCTCTGGGAATAAAATGAATACAAATTCTGCTTGAAGAGCTTCCGCAAAAGCAGGAGAGTGTCTTGTTCCAAATGCTAGGACTTCACATCATTTCAAACAGTCTGCCCTGTTTTACACGCTTACATGCAAGAGGAAATGGGGCACCAACCTATCAGTCCCACCCAGAAGTTTCCTTGATTCTTCCCAAGTACTGCCATGTGATCCCTTTATACGGCACATACTTTGGTTAATTTTTACCTAAAGGGTTCTCAATGCCTAAGACTGTCAATGCAAAGAAAGTCTCACTGTAAGACACAGACTACCGAAAATAACACTACTGGGGGTGGGGTGGACTAAAGAGCCAATCAACCACTCAGCTGTCAGTCATAAAATGCTGTCCGTCAGTCATAAAGTGTAATTTTGGAAGAGCTCCAGTATTGAGGTCGATAGTCTTTGCAGATCATCATTATTTTAATTTGCACGTCTTTTGTTTTACTCCATTTGCTTTGAGTTTCTTCTCACTGGGCACAGTAGCATGGCCACAGTTATTTGTATTTCCCTTTTTCTTCAGGTATGCATGTGCTGGTGTTCTGGAGCTCTTGCAGGGGTCTGCAGAGTCCAGAATCATGGCTGTCTGTCTGGGAATCCGGATGTTACCACTGGTTTCCATCTTGGGGCTGCTGTCACTGTAAGGCAAATCCCAGCCCTGCAGCTTGCTACTCTTATTTGCTCTCTTTTTCTTTTCCTCCGTCCTTGTCTCAGGGGTTTGCTTCTGGGAACACCACCTAGTGCTACTCGGCACATCCGGGGACCTGGGGGAAGTCTCAAAGGTGTAACAGGAAGGGTGAACTTCTCCATGGTGCCAACCTTTCTTTTGTGAAGGGCCTGACTTTGAAGCCCCTTCCAGGTACGGTAGTGGCCTGGACAGGGCAGTAGCAATTAGCTTACTTCTCCCGGGGCTCTTCAGTGCCCCCAAGGTCCTAGGGGCAGCAGGAGGCCTTGCCTTGGCCGCCTTGGCCTTTTCACACTGCACAGTCTGGTCCTGCAGCCACTCGAGCTGGACGAGTCTGTCGATGTACTTCCCGAGGAGTCCCCCAGCCCGGGGCACCTCCGTGGTTCTGCACTCTGCATTCAGAAGCAGGGCCATATCCCGCAGGTCCCAGGAGTTGAAAGGGGACGGAAGGAAATCAGGATAGTGGTACTCCGGCTTGGTGTGGCCCTGACCTGGGGGAAGGTCAAAGTCAATGGGATCGATTTCTTCAGCTCGAAGCTTGAGATCTGGAGGGGAGAGCGGAGAAGGAGGAATGGGAATTCTTTCTGAATCTGACAGGTCACTTGCACTGTCCTCCTCCACGTCTTCCTTCATAATTTTCATGGACTGGAAGTGAAGAAACAGTGTACTCTCCGAGGCCTCTCTGTACCTAGAGCCCAGGGTGCTGGCCTGGGGCTCACCTCCAGCGGAGGCCCCCAGGAGGCTGCTTCTCAGCTGGGAGGAAACATGGGGTCCTTGGGATTTACTCTGCCGTTTTCCTGAAGACTTCCTTGATTGCTGGGCTTTGCTCCAAGATGGGCCAGCATTTGCACTGCTGTGAAAAACAATACTGCAATTCTTACCACGTAGAGCCAAAAAAGTCTAATTGAGCTATGATTAGAGAAACCAAAAGAATCCTCTGGCTATACTTTTCAGCTATTACTAGGCCTCAGAAAACCTAGAGCCTCCAGATCCTTGCAGAAACAGTAGCTTTACAGAAAATTCTCTGCACAGTGATCTGCTCAGGAAACATTAGGGACTGCCTGTGCCCAAGTACCGTGTGGATTCTGCTCGACACCAAATGCTAGCATTTAAGAAAAACAGTCACAATTCTCAAAGTGCTTGTTTCATAATTTTAGATCAACTGTGTATGCTTTAAACAACATTGGTCTGGAGAATACCTGCTATAGGACTCTCCAACTAGTCTGTTAATAGTCAATAGAGTTTAAAAATGTTCAGAAATAAAACCCACAGCTTTCTTTTGTAGACATATTTTGGGTTAAAGGTAAATATAATGTAAAATGCACATTTTACACTGTTTAATCACTGGTAGTGATTCTGAGCCAATTCAACTCCGAATATGTTAAAGTACAGCATATAAAAACTATACTTTAAACTAAAAGCTTATTTGTTTCTTTCCACAAAAGAAACATACTCGGGAAAGATGCATTTAAAATAATAGAAATAAAATTATATGGTGCCATTATAATTCAATATAAATGAAAAATAGAGTTAGTGCTGTCTTGTGAATGGCAAGCAGAGACAAACAAAGAATACTGTGTGTGTTACTAGTGTAGCACTGGATTCTTCCTGGGGTAATATGGTCCAAGGCAGAATCTCACATCATAGTTGAAAATACCTGTACTTCAATTTATTCATCAAGAATAGAGCATTTAACCAAAGTAAGTACTTTTCTGTAACAGAAGATAGAAAGCAGAAATGGGAGATAATTATACTTCCTGGAAAACTCAAGAGGTTCATTTGCCAGGGATTTCAACCACACCAAGAATGTGTTACCCTTCATTAATAAATATGGAGTATGTTACATCATGGCCATCAGCTCAACATGCTCAACAAATATGAGTGATGGAGAAAGTAATGAAAGATTGCCACCATTCAGAATCCACAACCAGTACAGTGAAAACCTTGGTTTACAACCAGCTGTCACCTGCACCCCTAGAAGACAGCTATTGATAGTGCCCTTTAATATAGAGGAAACCAATGGAGCAAAGTGACGGAGGGACTTGCTGACACTGCCAGAACCTCCCCTGTGCAAGCTAACAAGTAACGCCATTTTGTCCACTAGTTTGTGCTAGGTGAAAAATATGAATGTGTATTTCTTATTCAGACCTATTTTTTCCAATGACACATATTCAATCTGGAGAACTGAGGCAACATGCCTTTTGCAAGATAAAGCAATTATATGAAAACTATTTACCTGCTTTTCTGATCACATTCATTCACCCTATTCCTTTTCTTGAGAAATTCACATGGCCGACCATCATCTAGGGTTTGATGGACTGTCTAAAAAGGAGATATTCAGTAATGAATACTGTGAACACAGATATGTGCACACATACATGAAAACACACAAAAAGGGAAAAAAAAAAAAAAAAACAACAACAGGACTGTCCCTTAAAGTTTACATCACCTTTTCTGCACTGCTCAAACTATTCTTGCTCAATCTGTTGGAGGATGATGACAGCTGGGGAGGTGACTTCTTTATTCCTCTTATGTTTGGAAAGAATTCACCACCACCGGAACTAGAAGCAACAGCAAACTGACAGTAAGTATTGATTGCAAATGGTCCTATCGCCAGTATTCAGTCATTTTTTCTCGTTCATTCTTTAGTATTTGCAAAGCACTGAAACATGGAGGCTGTAACATATATTCTGAATTGTGACAGATTAGAGGGGTACACAGTCATATGTTTCCAGTTTAGTCTTTTCAGTCCCCCCACAGAGTGGACAGTAGATACAAGACCACACTAGTATCAACCCATGACTGGATTCTTTCTCTACTTCTGTGTATGCACATGCATGAACACGTGCGAGCGAGCTCGCGTGCGCGCGCGCGCGCGCACACACACACACACACACACACACACACACACAACCTCCTTGAAAATAATGCACATTGTTGAGGAAATCTGTGATGCTAACTAAAGTCAAGTCTACTCCAAAGCTCCCACGTATACTCATTCGCTCATTCAACAAAAAATTTCAGGGGTGCCTAGAAATGGCCCACAACTCCTCTTCCCATGGAGCCTAAATTCTAGTGAGGCAACTCCCTTTGAATTCTTCTGCCTTCCCTACGATGTCTTCCCTTCTGAAACTTCAGTCACTCAAACCAGGCCGTGGTTATTCCTCTTCTTTTGAGAGGCCAATGAGGTGCGCTCATTAGAAACTGAATACTTCTCTCCCATAACACCCCTGTCTCTGTGAAATGGAAAAGAGGGGAATGACAGATGTTAAGAACATTTCATAAAGAAATGTTCCTGTCCTTTTTAAAGTACTTCTTTATCATGACCATGTGGGCCTTTTTAGTTGGTTCATATATGATGGTAACAGGAATCACAGGTGGGCTCTGGCAGTTAACTGACCACACCACACTCAGCTGGCTTGAACTCTGAGGTGTAGACAATGTTCTCTGCTTGACCCAAACTGCTCTCCACAAAGTGCTCTTGCACCCTCTCCCTTTCACTCCACAGGACAAGCTTCACACCAAGAGCTGCCTATTTCCTGCCAGAAGTGCCTGGGAGAAAGGAACGCCTGCAGGGTCCTAAGCGAGCAAAAACAAACTCCCATCTTCCCGTGGTTCCGGCTTGCATAGAAAGGAAGCCAAAAGTCAGAGATTCAGGCTACAAAAATGCTCCCCAGGCATGGGACAGCTGCACAATTCATCACAGGGCATTAACCCCCATCCCGGGTCTTCCTCTGGCGGTGATCCCAGGCAGGAGCGGTCCCCACCCCCACCCCAGGGAACCCGCTGGCCATTGGGCGGCAAAGGATTGTGGGGACGTGTGAGCATGACGCTTCTCTACGCAGCGAGGCTCCCTCGGTCTGGCCGCGGGTACAGGCAGCAGGCACAAGTCCAACGAGCTGGCTGGTTGGACACTAAATCAGCCCCGGACCGGCTCCTGGCCAGGCTGGGTTCTGCCCTCCCTCGCCCCACCCCCACGAACCCCGAAATCCGAGGACCTGCAGCGTGCACCTTCCTCCTCCTGGGTTTGTGCAGACACCAATATGATCGATAGGCGCACAGCCTAGGCAGACGCAGACAGAAATTGATCAGACCTATTCCTCGGCCGTGGGGGCACGTGACGAGGCCGCAGCCCACTGGCTCCGGCGCCGCGCAGGGGACGGACTGCGGCGCGCTGCGGC